AAAGTATCTGGATCTTGACCCTTGCGGCCAGTGTGCAAGCCCTCTCCTTGGTAAAGGCTATGCGTTCTCATGGATGCACCTCCAGCTTGATCAGCGTGCATGAAGCCAACGCTTAATTGGCTCTCCGCACGTTGGGTTGAAGGTGGAGCTTCCGTCAACGCCCAACGTTGCTTTGAAACCGGCGATGGGCCTGGTGTTAGTGCGCCATGAAAAGGTGCCAAAATCCACCGATGGACTTCTGCAAAATGCCAACTGTACGCGGATACGGTTCTCTAGGAATTTGTGATGGTTACCATCCTGGAGGGGTTTGATCATCTAACCATCCTTCAGGAGACAAGGCTTGAGAGATGGGATCACTGCTTGCGGGATGGCGGTATTGATTGGTTGGAGAGCTCATGTGGCTCTGCTGTGGATCGGTAGGAACCCCAGGCTGGGTATTCGCAATGGTTATAGGGTTATATGGCCAATATACGATGGAATATGCTTCGATGTTGGCACCTTCCCCTGAAGTCTCAGAAACACTTGAGGCAGTGCGTGGGACTCCGCCAGCATTGCTAACGGTCTGCTCAAATTCCTCAATGATTTTGTCGAATGAGGGGAATTTAGCTTTTTTGGTAGCCTGTACCTCCTCACGGCTCAAAAGCATCCAGTTGTTGGAATTTGTTTGGCTGGTCAGAACATGACGTCGGTGGAGTTTGTCTCGGTTGACGTACTTCTTATGCACCACCCATACGGCGTCCAAAACTTTAATGTCTTGCTCTACTACTTTCTCAAAATCCTCACGTGAAGCGGACTCAGCAAACACGGGCAAATCCCACAACATCCTTGCCAAATACTGGTTAATCTTCCGAACCCATCCCGTCATAGTAAGCGTCCGAGCTCGCCGCTTTTGAGGGGATATTTGTCTTTCCTCGTGCCTGGGCAACATGATTTGCCTAATCAGAGGGGCCATGCTGCTTACCTCTTGGATGGTGTAATTTTCTGCTTGCCCTTTTCCCTTGTAGGATGTCGTGCTTTCTACTAATTCTAAAAGGGCGTCACCTATAGATTGTCGAACAGGCTCAAGATCCTCGGGAAGAAGCGACAAGACCCCTAAATCCATGGTCAAGATCTTCAAAGTGATGAGAGCCAAACGCGCACCCTGGTCCGTGCTAAGAAAAGGAAGTACACTGTTACACTTGCAGGCGTTTCTATTCATCCAGTCCAGAACATTTATGGCCTGCTGGCGTGCTACAGGAGGCAACCCTCGCCCTTCCCAATCTTCCCACGTTTCACCAATCAGGAAACGCTCATTGTGGTCTAATCGCAAGGAGTGCTGTTCACCGGAGGCCGTGGAATCGCCGTCCGGAGCGGGCAGCCCACCCTGACTGAACTGCACTTGCGCTGGGTCCATCGGATTATGTGGAGTTTGATGCCATGCTCCCTCAGGGTACTCGAAGGGGAGAAGAACCGCCTCTTGGTCACTTAGTTCTTGGGAATAGGGATAGGAGGTATCTGTATAGGGTGCCATAGACATATATGGCACTTGAGTAAAAGACTCTTGGAGAAACGGATTTGCAGCAGGATCCGCTGGTTCATACATGCTTTGGTGTAAGTCTCCAGTCGGAAAATATATGCCACCGGCATGCAACGGATCTAACTGGAGCTCCTGCGGATACTGCATCCACTGAAGAGACGGCTCCCCCGCACTTGCACCACCTGCAATCTCTGGATACCACTGCCAAAAGGCATCGCCATCCGCCTCAGACCGTTCCTGAGGAAAGTGAGCTGACGCCTCATTTGCCGCTGCTGTTTCCATACCTTGGGCCGCGGGAAGCTCGGATAGCAGCGTATGCGGGGCCTCATGAGACGGCCCGGGGAACCCACCATCCTCAGATTCCCCCCCCTCCTTATCTGTGTCGGTGCCGTGGTCGCTAAGGCACGGTGTTTCGTTGACGTCGGCTAGCGCCCTCGATGTGCCAGCTGACTTCCGTCCAGACCTCAGACGGTCGAAACAGCGTAACACCCAATACAGCACTGCCAAAGAGGCGAACGTCAATGCCAAAACGCGGAAATATGGGGGCCAGAACGGTTTGCTCCTATGCAGGGGATGCGTCACCAGAGGTCCATCGTCGCAGCAGTGTTCTGCCGAGTGGGGTGTTTCCACTCCAACGGGGTTCACGGAGGCTTCTACTGGCCCCCGCAAAGCTATTGTGGAGACCCCCATTGAAAATAAGGTGTGCGCATCCACTGTAAATGTCTTTCAAATGAGCCTCTGGCGGACGTTGGATGGGCTCAACTGACATCTGCCGGAAGCATCACCCCACAAACGTATTAACGGTTGCTTGGAGCATTTGGGGAATCCTCAAGGCTCAAGGCGACAAGCATGTGTCAGGTTTGATAATTGAATAGGCTCGGGAGTATTGGGAGTGTGGCTGCAATGAGCAGCTCACACCAAGGGATTGGAGAACGTCAAACGGAAACGCATCGACAATAGAAGGCGACTTCT